TAAGATCCATTTCGTTCGCGACCGACACATCACTAGTGGTTAGCTTGGTGCAGCAGCACGGGGTGCTGTGACTGCTAGGACCTGGCATCCACATATGTGGACATCACATTTTGGGTTATTTAGACCATAATACTAAATTTTGCTCTACAGGGGCCTGATATCCACTCACGAGGACGTTATGCTCCTACTGTTCTATCACCATTTTAAACGAATATCCTCGTATGTGGCTCTTATTTTTCTTAAAAACAAAAATAAGGTAAAAAAATATCTGGTAATTCTTTGTTTTTACATTCATTGGGCCCCAATGTGCCCAAATATCAAAGAGAAATTAAAAATGCTGCTGTGGAAGAGTTCAGGTCTTAGGAGGTTAAAGCTAAAAATGGGCAGAAAAGTCTCTGAAAAGTGTAGTAACTGTGATCAGCCTTTTATCATGAAGCTGCTTGTATTGTGGTAGTGATTTTTCAGCAGGAAGTGGAGGATCTAGATCATTTCTGACCATGTTGTTTCTGTTCATGTTCTGGACTGTGATTGGCTGCTGATTCAGAGGAACTCATTTTCAATGAAAGTGTCTATGTTGAGTCCCTGAATGCACCACAAGAACAAAAATCCATTGAACAAAAGCTACCCAGCACATCTGAAGGGATTTATTCAGTCGTGGGTGCGGCCTCCATGGGTTCGTGTGGATTAGGATCCACGTAGTCCTGGTTGAACATGACGGTGTCGGCTCCCAATTTGAACCTGTGGATGGCAAGCAGGCTCTGCAGCACCTGCAGACACAACATGCATGTTAGGGGTTGTTAAAAGCACCCACAGTAATCAGATAAAAATATATGAAAATATTTAATAATCCACATTTCACTGTTTTACTCTTTGGTTCAGATGTGGATACTGTATTGTTCTTTCTTTGTAATTGTTTATGTTTAAGTTGTTTGTTGCTGGTTTTTAGTTTGTTTTTGTCTGTTTGGAAGCAGACACAGTCTCTATGGAGATGGGTTTTTGGGGGGTAGCAGGAGGAGGGAAGCTGCAGAGAGGCGTGTAAGACTGCAGCTCTGCTTCCTGGTCCCAACTCTGGATAGTCATATTTTGGGGGGTTTAATAAATGTGTCCATATTTGTAGAAATGAGAGCTGCTCCATCCAAAGTGGGATGGATGCCATCTCTCCTAACAAGACCAGGTTTCCTCCAGAAGGTTTGCCAATTATCTATGAAGCCCACATCGTTTCTGGGACACCACTCAGACAGCCAGCAGTTTAAGGAGAACATGTCTGTGAAGGTTCTCAGTCATCCGGGTCATCGTAGTCTAAGGTCTGTCATGGTCCTGAGTCTGGGGACTGAGTGTTTTGTGTTTCTTTATATTATTTTATGTTCTTGTTTATTCTGTTGTCTTTTGTTTAGGTTTGCTATGTGTTAGAGTTTGTTTTATGCCTGCCTATGTTCCCTCTGTCTGTCCATGGTGTCACTGTGTCTGCTCGTGAGTCTGTTAAGTTCAGTGTCTTGTCTGGTCCTCTGTGTCTGTTTCCTGTTTTATTCTGAAGGTCCTTGTCTTATGTGAGTGTGTTCAGGTTACATTTCCCTTGCCTCGTCAGCTGTGATTTCTCCGAGGTGCGTTCCTGTCTCCCGTCCCTTGATTACTGCTGTGTGTATTTAAGCCCTGTGTTCTCCTGCCTGTTGCTGGTTCGTCTGTGTTCTCTGGTGTTCTCTGGTCTGCATTAATCTCCTCCGTCATCCTGAGTGGTTTCCCTGCGTCTGTCTGCATCTCTCTGTCCTTTTCCACGTTTGGTTATCATTGCATGGTTTGCTCTTTAGTTGTCCCAGTTTAGGTTTACCCAGTTCTGTTTTTCGCCACCCTTGCCTTGTATACTTTCCACCTCCTTTAATAAAGCTTCCTCACATCAGAAGTGCCTGCATTTTGGGTACTTTAACAATTCCACACATCCTACGAGCCATGACAGGAGCTTGCAAAGAAAAGCGTCTGGACTTCTTTAAGTTGCTTGAAGACGTTTCACCTTCATCCGAGAAGCTTCTTCAG